CACGGCGTGCATAACGGAGATAAAACACCTCAATTACTGGGAGCGCTTGAGGTTCCTAAACCTGTATTCCCTGGAACGCAGGCGGGAGAGATACATGATTATATACACCTGGAAAATCCTAGAGGGACTAGTACCGAACTTGCAAACGAAAATCACTCACTACGAAAGCAAAAGACTTGGCAGACGATGCAACATCCCCCCAATGAAAAGCAGGGGTGTCACTAGCACGTTAAGAGACCATACAATAAGTGTCAGGGACCCGAGACTGTTCAACTGCCTCCCAGCATACATAAGGGGGATTACCAACAGACCCCTGGCAGTCTTCAAGCTGGCACTGGACAAGCACCTAAAGTCGGTTCCTGACCAGCCGGGCTGTGGCTCGTACGTTGGTTTGCGTGCAGCCAGCAGTAACAGCCTGGTTGATCAGGCTCTGATCCACCAGGAGGCCTGGTCACAGACCGGGCCGCGGGGGCGTTGACCCCCGGAACTCTCTCCAGGTATACTCCAGGTGAACGCCTGAAAGAATCCTTTTGGGTTAGTCTTTGATTCTCTTGCAACTTTAACCTCATAACCTCTCTTTGCTTTTCTTGCTCCCTTTTTTATTTCTCTCTTTAACTGAATATATTGATTTGTTAATTGCCCCTCTCCTCTTTTGATTTGCCTATATATGCCTCTCTTTTGACCAGTTAGGTGCTTTAATCTATTGCTCATCCATTTAGGATCATTTTTGTTTGATCTGAGTTCCCTATTTGGAACATAAATTGTCTGAGCAGCTAGAACTATGCCCTGGAAAACGTCATATCGACAATCATCACCACCTACCTGACCCTTAGTCAGGTCATTCCAGTTCAGCCCACCCAAGTAATTTTTCAGTCCTATGAAATCAGCCAAGTGGAAGTCAGGGACAGAGACTTGATTGCCATTATTAGGAGAATTCCATGATATATTAAAACTGAGTGATTTGTGATCACTTTCCCCAAGCTCATCATTAACCTCAAGATTATGTGTTTCCCTGCTGGCAAGAACCAAGTCAAGCAGGTTATTTCCTCTACTTGGTTCTGTCACAAACTGTTTTAAAAAACAATCCTGAATCGTATCAAGAAAGTCACCTGACTAAATTTCCTGCCAAATTTCACCAGCCAATCTGTCTATAGTTGAAATCTCCCATTAGCACAACATTTTCATATGTAGATGCCTTACGAATTTTGTCCCATAGAAGTTTACTGCACTCCCTATCAAGATTTGGGGCCCTGTAAATCACACCCAAAATTAGTTTTTCTCGGCCCTCGAGAAGCTGTAACCAACCAGATTCAGTGGCCGACGCTTCTAATTTTATATCTTGTCTAACACAACAATTTAAATTGTCTCTGACTTACATCGCTACTCCACCACCCTTCCTGTTGACCCTGTCAGTGTGGAATAATTTATAGCCTTGTATGTGACATTCAGAAGGTATCTCTTTATCTTTCAGATTGTGCCAGGTCTCTGTTATAGCAATAATATCTATGTTTCCTGCACTTGCAATTAATCTTAGCTCATCTATCTTATTTCTTACACTCCTTCTATTAGTATAGTAAACCTTAAGGGAGCTAGTCCCTTGCTGCCCTCTGCTGTCCCCCTTTGTTTGCTGACCTGATCTATTGTCTCCATTTATAACTTCATGATGAATGTCTTTTATACATTTACTGTTTTCAACCCTAGTGTTGCAACCTACCTGTTTCCCACATACACCCATACCTCTGTCTTCTATCAGTTTAAAATCTTAGGCGTTTCAGCAATGGCCCTCTCAATCAAGTTTGCAAGTGCTACCAACTCTACACCAGATAGATGTACCTCATCCCTTGCATACATATCATGTTTGCCATTAAAGTTGTCCCAGTTGTCAATGAATGGGATTGCAAGTTATTTGCAGTATATGTCTAGTCAGCAATTTACACCAATTGCCCTAGACAACCATTCATTGCCCACTCCCCTTCTAGGCAAGATGCTACATATGATTGGGACCCATCCCTTAGACTTAATTAAATTATAGCTGACCTGTACTTGTCTAGCAGCTCTTCTCTCATACCCTTCCCAATATCATTTCCACCAGCACTGAGACAGATAATGGGCTTGTTCCCATTACCTAACATGATATTATCCAACCTGTTGACTATGTCACCAACACCAGCTCCAGGGAAGTACACTCTATCTCTCATCTTCTTATTCCTATTACAGAAAGCACAGTCCATATATCTTACCTGAGAGTCACCAGGGGCAGTAGTACCCTTACCTTCACTGGCCACTGAAGTACATTCATCCTGAAGAACAGAGAAGTGATTTCCTACCTTCAAATCTTCACTCTTAACTTTCCTTATTTTGATGCTCCTCCCATTACTGGGAACCACTCCCCACTTGTAGCAGGTGCTGGACTGCACCTCACTGCTGGTAGCTGTTACTACCATCCCACCTACAGCCTCCTCGTAGCGAGTGACAGACTGCACCTCACTGCTAGAAGCCTCATTCTCCTCAACCACTCCAGCCACCTCACACTCACTCCCAGACCCATTGAGGTGGACCTTCAGCCTCCTAATCTCCTCCTGGAGAAGCAAGACTTCCTCCTTCAACACCCCAACCTCAGATCTTAAAACCACGCAAAAGCAAGGCATGGCTGAAGAGAGGCCGCTACCAGGTGACAGTCAGCGCCTGCAAAGTCATCTACCTATGTAGATGACTTTGCGACGACCAAATATGCGATGGAAGAACAGACGGGAGATCATTTATAGCCAAGATAAAAAGGGTAGTGCTGAGAACACAACCTTGTGGGACTCCCTCAGCCTGAACAAGGCTGAGGAAAGCGAAGCTCCAAGACGAACACGAAAATGTCTTTCAGATAAGAAAACAGCAAGGAAAGTCGGTAGATTACCACAGAAGCCTAGGAACTGGGCATGGTTTAAGATGTTATACCTCCAAGTGGTGTAGATAAATGGTTCAGAGAACCAACAAGTTGATAAATTAGACACATGTACAGAATTTGGGTATCTTTAATGAAGAAATGTTTTGCCACAGTGGCTTCATCAGTCCATGCAAAGAAGAATGGTGAAGAACAGGAGGAGTTTGAGGTAATCAGTCCCTCAGCCTTGCATCGATGTGATCAGTCCATCAATCTTGAAAAGAATACAGCATTTGTGCAAAGAAGTGGCTTATATACTGTAGGCAGGAGAGGTGCAGCAGTGATAGGTAGTATCACATTTGAGTAATGTGGAAGTAGTCATGCCCAAGGGTTAGGCAATTTGAAGAATTCCCTGCATTAAGATCCCAAGATGTTGCTGTGTCAGGTGATGGAGTGTGGTCGACGAGGATATCCCCAGGGTGTGTACAGGTCAGTCGTACTGGAGAGGGAGAGTGTGGTACAAGAAACGGAACTGCATGGTGATCTCGTGGAACAAGTTGGTTATAGAGTGATGAGACGCCTGTCTCGGATGATAAGCTGAATGGGGATCTTCCGACTGGAGAGGCAGAGGAGAGAATTTCGGGAAATTAGGTCAGTTTTGTCCCAGGATGTGACCCACACCATTCGACTAGGTACCTATTTTACTGATGGGTGAACATAGACAACCAGTGTAAGGAAACACGGCCGATGTTTCCACCCCTTCGCCAGGAATCGAACCCGGACCCTCACCATGTGAAGCAAAAGCTTTTGCCACCAGGCCACAGGAATGTGAACTGGTATTTGCAGAGACTGTTATCGAATAAAAAAATATATGAATTTTCTTGAGTGTATCTCCATACTGCATTTTGTAGATTAAAATGTGAAGAAATTGTGATACATGAAACGAAAAATATTTTAATAAATATAACCATGGCCAGTGTGGTCTGATCAAGACTCATCGTGATCTCTGTAATTATGTTATCATTGTGCTACCGCTCAGAGGATGAACTGGAGGTGCTCGTTACTAGACGTACGGTTGTTGATAATAATCAACAATTTAAGGAACTCATTCTGTCCATCAAATATAAAATACATCATATCAGCCCCTTTAGTTACTAATTATTATGCAGAATCATGTTTTCTGAAATAGCAGGAAAAAACAAATTATAGATATGGTTTTATTGAATAAGCTTATGCTCCTTATAAAAATATAAACACACAATAAATATTCTAATTTGTATAATCATTATAATTATTATTATTTAACTCTTATTATTGTTGTCATCAACATCATATTAAAAAGTAGAATGTATCATACAGCCTGTTGTCAATAATTAAGGATTCTACTTCGACTGACACTAATTAAACACTTGTCAGTCGAGTCCACCTCGACCTCAGCCGTTTCAGGTCTAGATATATATGGGCTCTCCCATTCGACAGGGCTGTATACTGTTAAGCATACTGATAATTTACCAAGCTGATGACACTGGTGACACCTGGTGCTTGGTCCATCACCCAGTCTCTGGTGGAGTGAATGTGGCCCTCGCGAGTACTTGCCACCAATGGTTGACACACTAATAACCCATTCTGGACACCACCACGGAACATTGTGCTACTGATTCTGCTATGATAGTCCCAGCTATAGTAAACAAATAATGAATCTGGATAATCTTATTGTAAGATAGCCACCATGTTATACAAATAAATTCAGGCATAACTGAAGACAGTAATCTTGTCTGAAGTGAGGTAATCAGTCCCTTCAACCAATAGTCGGGAAACATCACACCGGAATTCTGAAGGCACAAGAATCCTGTTGTTATTTTAGAACGCCGGAGGGTACCAATTCCAGGTAGCCGGGATTACCCCAGTGGATCGAGGACCTTCCCAAAGTATGTTCATTGGTCTTAAACGTTGTCCAGTGTAAGCGACCCACCATGATGACATGTCTTTACTCAATATTCGTGCCTAGAAGGCCAACTATAGTAAGAAAACGTGGGAATGTTCCATCCTGCCGGAATCGAAGGACCAATGTAGAAAGGGGACTTAGCAATGCACCAGGCACACATCTTAAACTTGATTATGAGTCAGCATGTTTCAAACATTCCAGATCCTTGTGGATAACATTCACACCACGAACTGGTAAGGCCACAAGGTAAGATAAGATTTCGTTCGGATTTTTAACCCCGGAGGGTTAGCCACCCAGGATAACCCAAGAAAGTCAGTGCGTCATCGAGGACTGTCTAACTTATTTCCATTGGGGTCCTTAATCTTGTCCCCCAGGATGCGACCCACACCAGTCGACTAACACCTAGGTACCTATTTGCTGCTAGGTGAACAGGACAACAGGTGTAAGGAAACGTGTCGGAATGTTTCCACCCGCCGGGAATCGAACCCGGGCCCTCCGTGTGTGAAGCGGGAGCTTTAGCCACCAGGCCACCGGGCTAGGTCACCTTCATTAAACTTGACTGTGAATCCAGCATTGTTCCAGACATTCACAGATCACTTAGATAAGTCTTCCTTGCTTCCAAGGTAGGCGTCCATCACTAATTGATAGGACTTGATGTCCCTTTATGAAAGACTGCCGCCATTGGCTTTCGGAATCACTGCCTGGGGGCTCTAGGCTGAATTGCCAAGGATGTCAAAAATGAACACTGATCAAGTGTTCTGGACATGGGAGAATGTCCAATGCACTTGAATGTTTTAACCCATTTGGTCCTTTGACCCAATGGGTCGAGAACTCCTGTCTCAACATCAAGTAATTGAAGACCTAGATATGTCAAAAAAATGATGTTCTGGTATATCACAGTTTCTCCTAAGATGGGAGAATTGGCTAAGCAACCTCTTCCCCTTCCTTTCTCTTCCACTAGTGAGGAGTCAACTGTCACTGTGACCTTGGGGTCAGGTACTTTTCCCTAGAGAGGGGAATGGTGAGAGAAACCAGTGAAAAATAATTCCACCACGCAGATCTATAATTAAATCTATCACACTTATGTCAAATACATTATTATTTTGATTGCATTCATTTTGAGGATCAGACTAACTCTTAATTGTTTGACGTTATTTGCAAATTAGCCTACTCTTGTATTAATACTGATAGAATTACCGATATGTTAAGTAAAAGGATACACATGTCACATTAGTTGCAAGAGTGTCCTTTTACTTAGCTTACTCTCGCAGTGGCCTGGGTTATACAATAACACTTACAAACTCTACACAATGGTACAGGCAACTTTAAATACAGCACAAACCATGAAGAAAACATTTAAATGTTATGTTAATCTCTAGGGTTTATTACCTGGACCTCAGCAATGAGAGTGGCTACACTCACCACTGGGCAACGGCGACCAGTGCAAAAAAAAAAAAAAAATAAAGCAGAGGTTTACTTTCCTCCCTTATCTCTCCAGCAAAGCGTTCATAATCCTTATCCTTTGAATATTTTTCTATAGCTATAGTGCCATAACAACGCGTCAGGAGCAGTAATGCCATCGTCATTATGACATAAATGCCAGCAGAAACTAAAATAAACATGATGACACATGAGAGCTTATCATGCGTTTCCTCCATTTCTTTCACAAAGAAAATGCAGAGGCAGGAGAAGATGGCAAGGAGCACAGGCGGGCCGTCATGGTAATGATATTGAGTTATTCCTTGATCAGTGACGAGGAGGCACAAACTGTCCTCTAAGGTCATACGATCTTGGTCATCCCTGTAGCACGCACACCGCTGACACCTGCAACCACATTATTATTAATTTCAAGAAAAAAAACCTTGATGTGACTTAGGAACTTTTACTGCAAGGAAATGGATCTGTACTCCTCTCTTTGGGATTCTACTCAATATTATCAGAAGGAAGCACGAAACTTGTAAGTGCTCTATAGTGCCTTTAGGAATACTTGACCATCAGAGTTTAAGGAAAGAGAGGGTACCTCCAATTCTTTGCATCAAGAACCCATCAGAGGCATCAAGACATTCCTTCCTGAGGGTTCCCACAGGCATATTATATCTTCAAGACACAAGAACACACGATTATAAGAAGCACTCAACAAGCCTACTGGCCCATGCTAGGCAAGTCCAATTCACACTTACCAACAATTATTCGTGTATTTAATCTAACATATTTGTAAAGCTACCGAAGGTTTACGCTTCTGTAACACTACTCGAGAGTTTCTTCCAGTCATCCATAAGTCACTCACCAAACCAGTGCTTTAGTCTTGTCTTGGTTAGATATTTAAAGTAAGTTATTCATCCACTTTATTAATTCCTGTTTTCCATTTATACACCTCAATCATTGTTATGTTTTATTATTAACATACAAGTCGTTTTCCACCAATGCAGGGTGGCCCAAAAAAGAAAAAAAATCACCATCATTCACTCCACCACTGTCTTGCCAGAGATGCACTTGCACTACAGTTATAAATTTTTAACATTAACACCCCTCCTTCAGAGTGCTGGTATTGTACTTCCCATCTCCAGGACTCAAGCACTGTCTTCCGGTTTCCCTGAATCTCTTTCATAAATGTTACCTTGCTCACACTCCAACAGCATGTCAAGTCCTATAGATCATTTGTCTCCATTTGCTCCTATCTAACACACACTTGCATGCATGCTTGCTGGAAGTCAAAGCCCCTTGCACACAAAACCTCCTTTTCCACCTCCCTCTCGGAGTTATTCTAGTTTGTTATATCCTCTCTACATGTCCAAACCCTCTCACACCACCTCCTAATTTCCAGACTACAAATTCTCTGCATTATATTCAGACACACATTGCTCTCAGACATGACATCTCCACTGCCTCCAGCCTTCTCCTTGTTTCAGCATTCACCACCCATGCTTCACACCCATATAAGAGCATTGGTATAACTATACTCTCATACATTCTCCTCTTTGCTTCCATGGACAAAGTTCCTTGTCTTTGCAGACTCCTCATTGCACCACTCACTTTTTTACCCTCGTCAATTCAATGATTCACCTCATTTTTCATAGACCCATCTGCTGACATGTCTACTCATAAATATCTCATTACATTCACCTCCTCCATACTCTCTCCCTCCAATCTGATATCCAGTCTTTTGTTACCTATTTTTTTTGGTTATCCTCATCATCAATTAAAAGTATTCACTTTTAATTTTCTTCTTTTACATACCCTACCAAACTCATCCACCAGCCTCTGCAACTTCTCTTCAGAATCTCCCAAAAGCACAGTGTCATCACCAAAGAGCAACTGTGACAACTCCCACTTTCTGTTAGATTCTTTATCTTTTAACACCACACCTCTTGCCAACACTCAAGCATTCATTTCTATTACAACCCCATCTATAAATATATTGAAAAACCATGGTGACATCACACATCCCTGTCTAAGGCCTAATTTTACTGGGAAACAATCTCCCTCTCTCCTACATATTCTAACCTGAGCCTCACTATCCTCGTAAAAACTCTTCACTCCTTTCAATAACCTACCTCCTCTTCCATATATCTGAAACATCTGCCACATTGCCTCCCTATCCACCCTTTCCAAATCCATAAATGCCACAAAAACCTCTTTATCCTTATCTAAATACTGTTCATCTATACGTTTCATTGTAAACACTTTGTACACCCCCCTACCTTTCCTAAAGCCTCCTTGTTCATCTCCTATCATACTCTCCGTCTTTTAATTCTTTCAATAATATTTCTACCATACACTTTACCAGGTTGTATTAATGTTGGTAGAATTACCGACAATATGTTAGATAAAAGGATGTAAGTGCAACTAATTGACATTTTACTGACCAAAATGCTGCCACAATAAAATGTCACATTAGCTGCACTTGTGTCCTTTTACATAACACTTACTCAACAGACTATAATGTTTGCATTCTCTTTTGTCCCCTTTGCCTTTATATGAAGGAACTATGCATGCTCTCTGCCGATCCCTAGGAGCCTTATCCACTTCCATACATTTATTAAATAAAAGAACCAACCACTCAAAACTATATCCCATCCTGCTTATAACATTTCTATCTTTATCCCATCAATCCCAGCTGCCTTATCCCCTTTCATTCTAGCCACTGCCTCACGAACTTCCCCCACACTCACAACAGGTTCTTCTTCACTCCTACAAGATGTTATTCCTCCGTGCCCTATATATGAAATCACAGCTTCCATATCTTCATGAACATTTAGCAATTCCTCAAAATATTCCCTCCATCTTCTCAATACCTCTAACTCTCCATTTAATATCTCTCCTCTCCTATTTTTAACTATCAAATCCATTTGTTCTCTAGGCTTCCTCAACTTATTAATCTCACTCCAAAATTTTTTCTTATTTTCAAGAAAATTTGTTGATAACATCTCACCCACCCTCTCATTTGCTCTCTTTTTACATTGCTTTACAACTCTCTTAACATCTCTTTTTTTATATACTCCTCCCTCCTTGCATCACTTCTACTTTGTAAAAACCTCTCATATGCTAAGTTTTTCTCTCTTACCACCAATCGCTCTTCTTCCCTCCTGCACCCACTTTCCTGTAACCACAAACTTCTGCTGAACACTCTAACACTACATTCTTAAACTTACCCCAACCCCACTGCCTACATTCTTACTAGCCCATCTATCCTACAACAGTTGTTTACAACATACCCTAACTGCCTTCTCCTTTAGTTTATAAACCTTCACCTTTTTCTTACTTGCTGGTTCCATTTTCCTTGTATCCCATCTACCTTTTACTCTCACTGTAGCTACAACTAAAAAGTAATATATCTGTGGCCCCTCTATAAACATGTACATCTTGAAGTCTACTCAACAATCTTTCATCTACCAATACATAGTCCAACAAACTATTCTTATTACACCTTACATCATATCTTGCATATTTATTTATCCTATTTTTCTTAAAATATGTATTACCTATTACAAGTTCAATCAAAGTTCAATCAAAGAGCCACCATTATCATTTACACCTGGCACCCCAAACTTACCTACCACACCCTCTCTAAATGTTTCTCCTACTTCAGCATTTAGGTCCCCTACCACAATTACTCTCGCTTGGTTCAAAAGTTCCTACACACTCGCTTAACATCTCAAAAAAAATCTCTCTCCTCTACACTCTTTTCTCCAGTGCATACACAATTATTATGACCCACTTTTTGCATCCGACCATTAATTTAAGCCACATAATCCTTGAATTTATGCATTTATATTTCCTCTTCTCTTTTCATAACTGATCCTTCGAGATTTTTGCTACCCCATCCTTAGCTCTAACTCTCTCAGATGCTCCTGACATAATACCATTTATTTCTCCCCACTGAAACTCACCTACCCCAATCAGCTTTGTTTTGCTTAGAGCCAGGACATCCAACTTCTTTTCATTCATAATATTGGCAATCATCTCAGCAAACAGAGGCACTACATCTACACACATTCAAGCATCCCAGTTTTATAATTTTTTTCTTCTTCTCTACTTTAGTATTTTCTACTGGAGAAGGGATTACTAGTCCATTGCTCCCAGCATTTCAGTCGCCTCATACAGCACATATGGCTTACGGAGGAAAGATTCTTCTCCACTTCCCCATGTAGAAAAGAGGAAATAAAGAAGAACAAGAACTATTAAGAAAAGAGAAAACCTGGATGTGTGTATGTGCATGCCTGTGTAGTGTCACCTAAATGTAAGTAGAAGTAGCAAAATTCAGCAGTTATCCAGTGTGCTTGAAACAGAAAAAATGGGACACCCACAATCCTACCATCATGTAAAACAGTTACAGGCAGAGATCAACCACTGAGTGGTTGATGTCTATCAACCTACCTTAGTCATATCCCCCCTAATTCTACACCTTTCTAAAGACTGCAGATTCAGTGTCCTCAGTCTGTCCTCGTAGAAAAGATTTCTGTTACTTGGGATCGACATTGCCATCTTTCTCTGTTTTCCAGCGAATTTATGCAACTTTATCTCAATGAGGCCTTACTAATAACATATATAGTTGTAGTATAACCTGAGGACTCTTGTAATTTATGCTTCTTGATATGAAGCCAAGAATTCTCTTAGTCTTAAAGCAAACACTTACTTTGTCTTGACTTTACATTACTGTTAACCAGAACTTTTGCATTCAGAGAAATTGAGATCTCCATTATTAAGTTTATATATGTTCCATGGTTCTCTTTTCCCAAGCTTAGAACTATGCACTTGTCTACATTAAACTGCATCAGCTGTTTCTCCAACCGTTGTATCAATCCATCCATAACTTCGTGTATTGCTTTAGTGTAGTCATCAGAATTATTCAGTGGCCTATTAGTGTCACTGGAAAACCTGCTGATGTGACTGTTTATTCCGTCACCTACGTCATTTATGCATACTGTGAACAACAGAGGTCCCAACACTGATTCCTAAGTAACACTGTGACATGTCCCCACTTTGATTTGTCCCCATTTATGCAAACTCGCTGTTGCTTATCTGTCAATCACGCCTCTTACCATAAAAAAAAACCTATTCCGTGTTAGTTTAGTTTATTATGTACCCCATACCGTGTGTCTCTAATTTCTCAACAAGTACAGGCACAAAAAAAAAACCCAAACCATACCACGGACGAGGATAGAACCCGGGGATAGAACCGTCCGTGGTATGGTTTGTTTGCAATCGTGTCATTACGATTTCGTGAGTCAGAGGCACAAAAAATAGGAAACACTAAACTCGTAAGGAGTAACAAGGTGCCTAGGGGAACAATGGAAAGTAATCAGGTTTTGCTCAAGTAAGGGAAGAGCAGCTCCAATTCCTTGAATCAAGAACCCTTCACAAGCAACAAGACAACATCCCCTTGAAGGCTTGCAATCTTATGAGCACTGAATAAAAAACAGAAGCCAAAAGAAATTAAACAGAAACATTTGAAGCGTCAGAATTGTTTGAACAAATTATTGCTCAAGTGTGAACTTAAGTTACTGATGAAGCTAACACTTATTGCTCAAGTGTGAGCTTTATTGAGCTATTGATGAAGCTAACACTTATTGCTCAAGTGTGAGCTTTATTGAGTTACTGATGAAGCCAACACTTATTACTCAAGTGTGAGCTTTATTAAGTTGCTGATGAAGCTAACACTTATTGCTCAAGTGTGAGCTTTATTGAGTTACTGATAAAGCCAACACTTATTGCTCAAGTGTGAGCTTTATTAAGTTGCTGATGAAGCTAACACTTATTGCTCAAGTGTGAGCTTTATTAAGTCTATGATGAAATTATTACTTGTATAAGTGGAAGACTTACCAAGTCACTGACATAATTTAAACTTGAACAAGACACTGGTTATTACAGACTGATCCTGCAGTCTGAGTGACCTACCGAAGAGGTACACGAAAAGTGGTGGTGTCTTCATTAATGGTGACCTTAACAGTTTCACTCTTGGCCGCCATGATCTGCAAGTACATACTAATATTATTTACTACACAGACACAGGCTGATGGTATGAAGAATAAGAGACATCATAACCCTCTTGATAAATGGTTTTGAAAACCGACAAGTTGAAGAATCGAGACACTTATGCAACATATGGGACTCTTTATCAATAAAGATTCCCATACGTTGCATAAGTGTCTCAATTCTTCATCATAGCTCTCACAGAAACCAATCTCTAAAGAGTGATAACAAATGCCGTCTTTCCAACTGGATATCAAATCCTGAGGAAGGACAGAGGGACCAGGAAGGGGTGGACTAGTGGCACTGCTTATCAAAAACCAATGGGATTTCAAAGAGTTGGAGAGAAGGAACAGAGAAGAAGCAAGGGACTACATAATGGGAACACTTCGGACTAAAGGTCCAAGAATAGCAGGAGGCCAAAACAAAAAAATGATGAGAGTAACAGAGCGATAGTTGACACATTGGCTAAAGTGGCCAGAAGGGCCTGTGTGAGCAGGGGAAAGTTACTGGTCGTGGGTGACTTTAATCACAAAGAAATCGACTTGGAAAACCTGGAGCCACATGGGGGCCCAAACAGTTGGAGGACTAAGATGATAGAGGTGGTACTGGAAAACCTCTTGTATCAACACGTTAAGAGGATGAACCAGCAAGACTGGACCTAGTATTCACCTTGAGCAGTACGCACACATATGAAAGACCCCTCAAAGCTAGTGATCACGTGTTTCTAAGCTTCGAATACATAGTTACAAGTGGAGAGGGAGACAAGAAGGACAGGAAGAATGAAGCCGAGCTACAAGAGAGGGGACTATACAGACATGAAGAATTTCATGAGCGAGGTCCAGTGGGACAGAGAATTGGCAGGGAAAATACTAAATGAGATAATGGAATATGTGACAACAATATGCAAGGAAGCAGAGGAGAGGTTTGTACCCAAGGGCAATAGACATAATGAGAAGGCCAAGACGAGCTCTTGGTTCACCCAGAGGTGTAGAGAGGCTAAAACCAATTATGCAAGAGAATGGAAGAAGTATAAAGGCAAATATCCAAGAAAACAGGAGACTACTCGAAGAGCAAGAAATGAATATGCACAGGTAAGGAGAGAGGCACAGCGACAATACTAAAATAACACAGCAACTAAAGCCATGTCTGACCCGAAGCTGTTGTACAGTCACATCAGGAAGAAAACAACAAAGACCAGGTAATCAGGCTGAGTAAGGAAGGAGGGAAGATTACAAGAAACGACCTTGAAGTATGTGAAGAGCTCAATGCAACATTCAAAGAAGTATTCACAGTGGAGACAGAGAAGACTCCAGAAAGGTGGCGAGGTGGGGTTCACCAACAAGTGCTGAACATGATACATACAACTGACGAGGAAGTGAAGAGGCTGCTAGGCAAACTACATAGAGTTGTCAGGATGTGGAATATTCTGGAAAGTGAGGTAGTGAAGGCAGGTACCATACATAGCTTTAAGAGGAGGTATAATAAAGCTCATGGAGCAGGGAGTGAGTGGACCTAGTGGTGACCAGTGAAGAGGCAAGGCCAGGAGCTATAGCTTGACCCTACAACCACAATTGGGTGAAAGATAAAGGCACAGAACACAGGCACAGACAGATATGGGCACAGCACAAACCCAAATGCAGATACAGGCACAGACACAGACATACACACATGGGGCCAGGAGCTGTGATTCGACCCCTGCAGCCACAACTAGGTGAGTACAAATAGGTGAGCACACGCACATGCCTGCGCACACACAGACATGCACACACACACACAAGGGCAACAGAAATAAAGAGAAGGCCAGAATGAGCCCTTGGTTGAGAGGCCAAAACTAAATGAGCTAGAGAATGGAAGTATAGGACGCAAAGAGTAGTCGAAGAGCCAAAAATGAATACGCACAGGTAAGGAGGGAGGCCCAGTGACTATACGAAAGTGACACAGCAGTGAAAGCCAAGTTCGACCCAAAGCTGTTGTACTGTCTCATCAGGAGGAAAACAGTCAAGAACCAGGTAATCAGGCTGAAGAAAGGTGAGATTACAAGAAACGACCCACAGATATGCAAGAAGCTCAGCATGAGATTTAAAGAAGTATTCACAGTGAAGACAGAAAGGACTCCAGATACGAAGGTGTGGGGTACACCAGCAAGTGCTACACACAATACATATAACCGAGGAAGAGGTGAAGAGGATGATAAGTGAACTAGATAACTCAAAAGCGATGGAGCCAGGTAACATCTCTCCATGGGGTCCTGAGAGAGGGAGCAGAGGCGCTCTGTATACCACTAACGACAATCTTCCCTAAAGTATGGAACACAACAAATGTAGTCCCAATTTTTAAAAAAAGGAGACTGACACTCAGCACTAAACTACAGACCAGTATCATTGACATGCAGAGTATGCAAAGTCACGGAGAAGATTATCAGAAGAGTGATGGAGCACCTAGAAAGGAATGAGCTTATAAATGACAACCAACATGGATTCAATGACGAGAAATTTTGTGTCAGAAACCTACTGGAGTTCTATGACAAGGTGGCAACAGTAAGATAAGAGAGAAAGGGGTGGGTAGGTTGCATTTTCATAAACCATACCCCCGGCCGGGATTGAACCCGCGGTCATAGAGTCTCAAAACTCCAGCCCGTCGCGTTAGCCACTAGATCAGCTAGCCACAATAAGATTCATCCAACTAGGTATATTTCTACACGATAGGAAAGTTAGCACAGGCACCTCTGTGATCACAAATGCAAGTTTTTACAGACGAATCTCCAGCTAGCGTGGCCGTGACGAACTCTAGCTCAAGTCCCTTCACTGCCGTCAACATTCGTCTGTAAAAACTTGCATTTGTGGTCACAGAGGTGCCTGTGCTAACTTTCCTATCGTGTAGAAATATACCTAGTTGGATGAATCTTATTGTGGCTAGCTGGTCTAGTGGCTAACGCGACGGGCTGGAGTTTTGAGACTCTATGACCGCGGGTTCAATCCCGGCCGGGGGTATGGTTTATGAAAATGCAACCTACCCACCCCTTTCTCTCTTATCTTACTGTTGCCACCTTGTCATAGAACTCCAGTAGGTTTCTGACACAAAATTTCTCGTCATTGAATCCATGTTGGTTGTCATTTATAAGCTCATTCCTTTCTAGGTGCTCCATCACTCTTCTGATAACAGAGCCTAGGACCAGTGCTGTTTCTGGTATATGTGAATGACATGAAGGAAGGGATAGACTCAGAGGTGTCCCTGTTTTCAGATGATGTGCAGTTAATGAGGAGAATTAAATCGGATGAGGATCAAACAGGATTACAAAGGGACCTGGACAAACTGCAAGCTTTGTCCAGCAACTGGATCATGGAATTTAACCCAACCAAATGCAAAGTCATGAAGATCGGGAAAGGCGTAGAATTAGGGGGGATATGATTGAGGTGTATAGACGGAAAACAGGAATTAATAAGGGGATGTAAATAGCTTGCTAAAAATATCTAACCTAGACAGGACTCGCAGCAATGGCTTTAAGTTGGAAAAATTCAGATTCAGGAAGGATATAGGAAAGCACTGGTTTGGTAATAGAGTTGTGGATGAACATAAGAACATAAGAAAGGAGGAACACTGCAGCAGGCCTGTTGGCCCATACTAGGCAGGTCCTTTACAATTCATCCCACTAACAAAACATTTGACCAACCCAATTTTAAATGCTACCCAAGAAATAAGCTCTGATGTGTAAGTCCCACTCAGATCCAACCCCTCCCACTCATGTACTTATCCAACCTAAATTTGAAACTACACAAAGTCCTAGCCTCAATAACCCAATTAGGTAGACTGTTCCACTCATCAACTACCCTGTTTCCAAACCAATACTTTCCTGTGTCCTTTCTAAATCTATACTTATCTAATTTAAATCCATTTCTGCGGGTTCTCTCTTGGAGAGATATCCTCAAGACCTTATTAATATCCCCTTTATCAATACCTATCTTCCACTTATACACTTCGATCAGGTCTCCCCTCATTCTTCGTCTAACAAGTGAATGTAACTTAAAGAGTCGTCAATCTTTCTTCATAAAATTTCTAATGCTATGTATTAATTTAGTCATCCTACGCTGAATGTTTTCTAACGAATTTATGTCCATTCTGTAATATGGAGACCAGAATTGAGCTGCATAATCTAGGTGAGGCCTTACCAATGATGTATAAAGCTGCAGTATGACCTCTGGACTTCTGTTGCTTACACTTCTTGATATAAATCCCAGTAATCTATTTGCCTTATTACGTAAGCTTAGGCATTGCTGTCTTGGTTTAAGGTTGCTGCTCACCATAACCCCTAAGTCCTTTTCGCAATCTGTATGGCTAAGTTCTACATCATTTAACTCATAAGTGCTAGGGTTATGGACACTCCAGAGCTTCAGAACCTTGCATTTATTTACATTGAACTGCATCTGCCACTTTTCTGAACAAGAATATAGTTTGTTTAAATCCTCCTGAAGTTCCCTAACATCTACGTTTGAATCAATTATCCTACCTATCTTTGTGTCATCGGCGAATTTGCTCATATCACTAGTAATTCCCTCATCAAGGTCATTGATATATATTATAAACAATAACTGGCCCAAGACTGATCCCTGTGGAACGCCACTTGTTACAGATCCCCACTCGGATTTAACCCCATTCATGGACACTCTCTGCTTCCTGTCTGTGAGCCATGACTCGATCCATGAGAGCACTTTTCCCCCAATGCCATGAGCTGCCACTTTCTTTAACAGTCTTCGGTGTGGAACTCTATCAAAAGCCTTACTAAAATCTAAGTAAATAATATCAAATTCTTTATCGTGATCAACAGCCTCAAAAGCTTTACTGAAGAAAGTTAATAAATTAGTTAGACAAGACCGGCCTCTTGTGAATCCATGCTGAGTATCATTAATCAAGCTATGCTAATCGAGATGGCTTCTCATAATCTGAGCTATAATCGACTCTAGTAATTTGCCTACAATTGAGGTCAGGCTTATTGGGCAGTAAT